TGTGCGTGCGTGCGTATGGGCCGCGCTGCGCTACTCTCCAAATGCGCAAAATGAGACCTAATCCTCCACTAGAACATGGAAAGATACATTGCCATTCCTTTGTCTTTTGTGCATGTGGACAGTAGTGCAGCGAGGCCTTATGTTTGTGCATTTTTTTTTCCTTTTTTTTCTTTTGTGTGTGTGTATGTGTGTGTGACACACACACAGAGAGAGAGAGAGAGAGAGAGAGAGAGAGAGAGAGAGAGAGAGAGAGAGAGAGAGAGAGAGAGAGAGATCCAATCCTTCATGTAGATGCATGAAGAAGTGGGGAAAAATCTGTGTCCACATCTGTTTATGCGTTCTTCCAACATTACCCTTTCCACTGCAGGTTTTTTGTTTTTTCGCACCACAGCTGCATCCAAGACCGGAATTAGTGCTAAGAGCCTAAGACTCAAAGTCCTCTATACCTGTGGAGCATATCCCCTCAAAGAACAGCGATCAATGCCAATAATGCCGTGCACTTCACCTCTCTCTCTCTCTCTCTCTCTCTCTCTGATTTTTTTTTCTCTTTTTTTTTGGGTATGTGTTAGTCTATCTTGAGTCTGTCCTTGAGTTCGACTCGAAACACTTTTCTGAGATTGTTTGAACTCTGTTTTTGTTGCCAGATTGTTTGAGTTACTCTGAGCCTGCTTTAAGTACATGTTGAGTTTGTTGTGCTCTATATGTGCATTTGAGTCTGTTTGAGTACTTTGACTGATCTTTGCCATGTTTTTTTATGCGGGCGTAGCCCGCACCGCCCGCACCGCGGGCGCTAAGCTAGTAACCATTTAATGTCATAGAATCTACCCACGACCTTTACACATCCAACTGTTTGCAATTTGTGTGATGTGGTCATCAGGCGCTCACCCAAATCGCTATCGAGTTAAGGAAGAAGGAAATGTTTTTCAGCACGCGCATCAGTAGGTGGTGAAGTGCATGGACAACCCTTCGTTGCCCCACAACTGTCAGATCAGCAGATAGAGGTGCGATCGGCCTCCACATGTGTAGATCCTTGTGCCTTGGGATTACATGAGCCGAACCCAGACGTCAGTCTAGCTTCTATGGCCCAAGGTCTTGCATTCTTTCTCCAACGAACGGTCTCCTGCATTGTGCGAGTTTATTTTGTTTCAATTCCAAGCCTCTTGAAACCTCATAAATTCATAATTTGTATTCCACATGAAAACCTTGGTGAGGGCATGCGAATAGATAATCACGAAGATGACTATAGTATCCCCCCGATTCCTTTCAATAGGCACGAGCACAGACCCGCCGAAGGTCCGAATCCACCTCCGGACTTCACCATTGGTCCATGTTGTCCAATGTAACAGTTGTGAGTCCTTTAAATATCCCAGCTGGAAGATTAACCTATGGATGCTTCCCCTTGAGGTGCAGGGTAGCTTGTGATACGCAACTTTACGCCCCCTTGCAGCTTCCTGTACGGGGTCGCCGATCAGAGTTCTAGGAGGGGCGTGGCCGAGGATTTTTTGTCGTAAGGGTTGAGTCTCTCGGACGGAATGAGAGGCTCTCGTTTTGTGGCCGAGGTTTTTCTCGGAGTCGAACTGCCGCCGCGGAGTTATGTGGGGGTCGAATCACTCCGAAATGACAAAATCAAAAAGGTTTCCACAAAAATGAACTGCCGCCATGCATCGGGACGGAGAAAGGCATCGAGGGGAGGGGGCCATGGCGGCGGAAGACAAAACTTCGATCGCCAGGGGTTTGGGGGATAGGTGGGGGGTTCGAAGCCTTCATGCCTCATCATCGACTTCACAAAGTGTATGACCCCTCGGGTCTTTGTTGTGGAGGTGGGTGGTTCGAGGCCTTCAAGCCTCGGCGTCGGACTCACAGAGTCCGCGCGAAAGTTTCCGAGAGGGTAAAGTGGTGGGAGGACTCGCCGGCATCTGAATTCGAAATTACGCGGGCAGCGCCCCCACGCTACAGGAAAGCTCAGGGAAACGCGTCGCTCCCTCGTAACCCAGGACCAGCCTTCGCCACGAACACGACTCGGAGTCCCCCTGGCGACACCAGCGACAATCAAACTGTGGTCGCCACGCGTCGTGAGCGGCCGACCAGGGCAACACCGTTAAACCCGTATAAGGCAATATCGGAGTCGGGGAATCAAAGCGATCAATTAGCACAAACCCGTTCCCCCTTATCTCACAGGCCCACGGAGGGTCTTGCCAACACACTTGCTCCGTCCGCCTCAGCGCGCGCCGTACGTCCGCATCGCAGTAGACGCTGTCGTCATCTGTGATGAAGAAGGCCGGTAGCGAAATGAGATGATCAGAGGTACGTGATGAACACGGGCAAGATCCCGCGTTCCCGGTCATCCGAGCCAACACGGAATCCATACAACAATCGCCGCAACTTTTCTCTCTAAAAAAAGGGGGGTGCGTAGGGGGAAGGTGACGAAAGCTAAGCTTTCTCCCCTTGGCGGGGGCGTCGACCGTCCGCGCGGACGTAGGCGGTTGACGTCACCGGTTCGGGGACGATAAGCTCTAAAAGCGATGACTGTCAGTTCCGAGGAAGGCGATCGAGGAAGGGAAGGAGGGAGAGAGAGAGTGAGAGTGAATTACGCCGAGATCGCGCGAGAGCGCAGAAAAGACCGCGCAGGGGAGGGGAACAACCGGATCAACACACTCATACTCCTAAGCAGACGGTTCCCCAGTTCAGTTTCCCCATCCCCGCCCGGGCGAGTACATACACACATACATGCATGCAATCAACAACACTTGACAGGACATCTTATCATCCATGGACCTTCGACGTCACTCATGCGCAGAACCAGCTCCCATCACTCGGGGCTTCAAGCACACGACATATATAGACAAAGCAGCAATGGAGATAAAAGCGAGTCCTTCTCGTACACAAAAAATTCAATTAACTTCCGCCCCTAGGCGCGGTCTTAAAAATTCCCCAAGACCACCGACCACCATAGCCACAAGGCCCTGCCGCGGCCGGCGTCCAATCCCCACTACTGCTCAGTCCCTCCGACTGCTTCGCCCTGAGACTACCGCGGGGTCCACCCCACATCGTCACTCCACCCGTCCTTGGGCTCGTCGAGCCTGTTCGGCGCTGCGGACTCTCGCGCATAGCTCGCGCAGCATTGCAGCCGAGATCAAAGAGAGAGAGAGGAGAGGGTTGCGCAAATTTACAGCGCGGGAGGCGGCGGGTTAACAGCGCGAGGTGCGGGCGGCGCAGGGTGTAGATGAGCAGGACCGGAGAGAGAGGTGGGGAGTCAGATGGTTCGACCTGCGGGATTGCATGGCTACGTGATTGGGGTGTTCATCCAAGTGGTGTGCGGTTTCCCGCTTTCCACATTGATCCGAGCATCCTAACTACACCGCCAATCACTTTGCGGAGGAAGACAGGGTAAGGATCAAGCTGGGCGTAGGGGAAGACGAAGAGTCCTGCATGGGGAAAATGCGCGCAGCAAGAAGGGAAGATGGCGCNCTGGGCGTAGGGGAAGACGAAGAGTCCTGCATGGGGAAAATGCGCGCAGCAAGAAGGGAAGATGGCGCGAGGATGCAAAGCAAGAAACGGGGATGCGAGACGCGCGAAGAAATCGGAGTTTGGACGCGCGCGCAAAAATTCAAAAAAAAAATCCCAACCACACCCGTTTCTTGATTTTCATACCGCGGCCGCTATTCGCCCGCGGGAGTTGTTAACCAAACAAAATAAAAAAGGTCGTTTCGAAAAGAAAACAAGAGCAAAAAGAAGGAAAAACCCCTTTTTATCTGCGTCCGTACTTCGGGGCTTTTCCTCAAGGATACGGCAAGCCGCGCGGTACGGATCTGAGCTTATCACATTTGTGATACGCAGGGGGTTCCGAAAAATTAGCAGTCTCCCGACTGCTGACGTCATCATATCTTGGATGATCAGGCGGCCTCTTCATCGTCAGCTGGCCCGATCATCCTCCTAATCTTCGTGGATGCATCCCGCATCCTCCATCGCCTCCTCCCATAGTATACATTCGGTCGGGCGGCCCCTTCATCGTCAGCTAGCCCGATCCGAATATGTATATATATATATATATATATATATATATATATATATATATATATATACAGCGTGTATTGTCGCGCGAGCTTTAGATCCGGAGAAGAAGAGGAAGAAGAAGAGAAGGAAAAGGAGAGGACGGGGGATAGGTAGACGAAGGTGATCTACCGTGATCAAATGAAGTGATCTATGTCGGGATTGAGAGGGGGCGGAATAGGTGGAAGAAAGGTGGCCATTGCCGCAGGAGTCGTCGACCCATCTTCCTCCTGGAAATGATGTTGGACGAATGAGGGGTAAAGGAAAGCCCCAGGCACATGAGAGAGGACTCGTGGCGCCAGATCCGCGACCGCTCGCACCACCTGCTTGCGCACCGATCGGGGCCCTCGACCCGTCATCACCACATGCGTCTCGGTATAAGGCCGCCGCTCCCGCTTCTGCGCCGCGAAGACCAGGAAGTGGTACACCGCATTGGGACGCTGCCCCATCTCGTAGATGAGCGTCCCCGCCAATCGCGCTGCAATACACCCTTGAAAAGGGGGTGTCAGATACGACTCCCACGCCGGATCAGGGCGCGGCGCCCCCACGATGGCCTCGAGCCTAACGGTGGCGGGCTCCACCATGAAGTCCACCTCGGTCGGATGGACCGTCCGGCTCGGATGAACTACTAAGGTCAATGACCGGGGCACCCCGGGTTGGTTGGCAGGAACGGAGAGGTCCCGCGAGGACGGGGGGTCTGGATATGGGATCGAGAAATCCCATTCGGCTTCCTCCTCCGGCTACTGCTGCTGGTGATGGCCCGACTCCATCAAGATTGAGGTCGGGCACACGCAGAATGGGCGGCGATGGCACGATAGTCTCCTTAATGAGCGTCGCCGCGCGCGCGGGCTGAATCACCTCCTCGCCGCCGTCGATCCTGCTGCCTTGCACTCCTGGCGACGGGTGGCGTCTCTTCCTCTTCGGCGTCTTCTTGGGGGCCTTTGGTGGCGCTGGCCGAGAGTACGATGAGGGAGGACGCAACGACCTTTCCTCCGGGAAGTCCTCCAGTCTCTCCGCGCGCTGCGCAATGTAGTCCGGGATGACGACCGCGTTGTACATTCTTCGGGGGGCCGTCACCGTCCACAATCGCGGTTGGATCTCCTCTTCCTCGCTCGCGATCACTTGTGCGATGGAGAGGAGCTCAAGATGTATGAGCTCCAAAAATCGCGGATCGATCGTCTGGAGCTGGGCGAATGGGTACAGCACGACCGTCCCTTCCTTCTCCGCTGGCTTGGGTCGCGTGATGACGTAGTAAACGACGAAGTGCTCACCGGTAGTGTGGTCTTCGTGATCCACGAAGAACCAGAACATCCCCAGCGCCACCGACTTGTACTGCGCCCAGTGCAACTCCCACGCGTCCTCGTTGGCGAAGGGCAGCGGCTCCACGTCAGTTAGCTCCACCAAGTACTCCGAGAACTCGCGCATGGGGTAAGGGCCCGCCGTGAGCTGGTAGGGGAGGGTGGTGTAGGAGAAGAAAGGAGGCATTTAGTACGGGACAGGGGGAATAGCTTGGAGGTTGAGAGGAGCAGCGGGAGGGAGAAGCGCCGGGAGCTGCGACACCAGCGCAATCGGTCCGTCCTCGGCCCTACGCAGCAGCACTTCGTGGGCTGTGAATCGGTGTCCGCTTCGTCCTTGCACTCTGGCCACTCATCTGGCCGCTTCTACCACGTACTCGCGCACAAAGCTGCGCGCCGGCTCCCGATTCTCTTGCGGGAGGACCGTCAAGTCTCCGATGAAGGTGGCGACGCTGTGCGCGAAATTGGGTGCCACCTGGAGCGCACGGAACTCAATAAATGCCCGGGTCGTCTCCCGACCGGGCAACAGCGTCACGTCCACGTACACCCCCGCATACGTCAGCCGATCGCAAGTCAGCAACCCTGGGCGCTGGCACGTTCACCTGTTGGATGTCGTACCGCAACTGCCTCTCCTTGTTAAACCGATGCCGCAACAGGCGATCTGCAAGCGGCGTTTGGAAGTGCTCGAGGGGCTCATGCTCCGGCTGGCGATGGTTCATCCTGCTCCCCGGCACTTTCAGCACCAATGGACGAGGCAGATCGAGAAGAGGAGGAGGATGAAGAAGGAGAGGGTGATCTCGCAGGAGCGAGGGTCCGTAGGGGACCTAGCGACGGCTGGAAGGGCCGAAGCGCGGCAGCGTGCCGTGTTAGCGGTCGGGCCTGGGAGTTGTGACGGGGAATCAACTTCACGGAGTGTTGTCCCTGTGCGCCAACTTCCGTGACCTCGTAGATGCCTGTGTATCGCGGGTGGATCTTGGAGGAGCGCGCAGACTTCCGTACCTCTACCAAGTCCCCAACTTTATAGCGGGGCAGTGGTCCCGCCGATGCGTGTCGGTTCTCGTAGTCCCGGATCTGCCGTTGATGCGTCCGATCTACGGCCTGCTGTCGATGGCGGGCTAACGGGGGATAGGCCCTAGCCATTAAGGCCAGGTAGTGGCAGGTCTTTTCTCAATTCAGGGCCCGTGTTGCTCTAACTTCCGTGCCTACTAATGGGGACAATCGCACCCGAGGGACGCTATTGGTTCTCAGTTGAAAGGGGGACACCCCAGTACTACCGTGTGGGGTAGCCCGATAAACGGCTAAAATGTGATCGACAATGAGCGGCCAAGGTCGGGTATCTCCCGCAGTGATATTCCGTCTAAGGGCCGTCTTAATCAGCCGCTTGGCATTCTCTACCAGGCCGTTGGCTTGAGGCCAATGCCCCGGCGAGTAGATAATCTTGACGTCCGCCATGACTAGGTGACGTTCTACTTCGTCTTTAAATTCCGACCCATTATCCATGTTGACCTCTTCTACGTCTAGATGCATGCACAAAAACTGATTTACGTACCAGGCTACTTCCTGCGAATTCCGGCTGGTCATAGGGTACGCCTCGATCCATTTTGAAAAATGATCGACAGCTACTAAAAGAACATTGAGCTCTCCCTGATCGACGGGCCCTCTCGGAACGTTGATGTCCGTCGTATCGATGCTAACCCTCTGAAAGGGGCACTCTACACGAGTGGGCACCATCGTCTGAGGCATCTGTACCGGCGCCTTGTCCGCCACGCAGGCCGGGCAATTCTGAAGGATGTATTTCACATCTTTCCGAATTCCCGACCAGTATCATCCGTTCTTTTCGATGGCTTTTTCCGTATACTTGACCGCAAAATGGACCGCATCCTCATGAGCGGCTCGTGTCCAATCGAACCTAGCAAGAGGGTGTGGAACCGTCAACCAGCTAGACTCTCCGTCGTCATCGACCTTCCGTTTTTCTAACGTCGGACCCTGCCAGCGATAGTCTTGCGCCCGCTCCGTGACTCTCCGCCGTTCGGCTTTGGTAAGTTATGACAGCGAGTCGCCTGACAGTCTTCGTAGCAACAAAAGGTTCGTCCAGGCCTCTGCCCGGCGGGCACTCTGCGCAAATCTGCTGGCTGTTCTAGCGTCCAGATACCGCTTCCCGGTAGGGACTTGGTCTGTTCTACAGTTGGGACAGACCCACGTCTTTTCACTTCGGTACCTAACGCACTGCCCGTGAGACTTGACCGTATGACACTGACTACCCATAGAAGAAAACTGGGCCTTCCCGGATGTGACCCTTCTTGGTCCGGGATCATAGGCAAGGTACAGAAGAAACAGGGACTTAGGTGTGTTTCAGAGGACGAGTTGGGGCTAGACGAGAGAGCGAGGGAGTGGGATGAGGGTTGAGCGATAGTGTCGGGCATTTCCGATGAAACCTCCATTCGGGACTCAGGCGTCGTCCTTACGCAACACGTGTAGCTCTCCGTAGTGCGGTTTCGTCGCCGCGACTCTGGTCTCCACGGAATGAGTCGCTCGTTGGCGGGGCACTTGTTGGGCGGCAGAAGGCGCGTTAATCCATCGGCGTTACCATACTGCCGCGTAGCGCGATGGCGGATGTCGAAGTCATAGTCTTGCAAACGCACCGCCCACCTGCCCAGCGTCCCCATGTAGTCCGTGTTGTTGCGTAGGGACAGCAGCGACTGATGATCCGTTACCAACACGAATTTCTGGTCGTACAGATACGGTCGGAAGTGCTGTATCCCCCACACCACCGCCAGGCATTCACCTTTGCATGCTTCGTAATTAGCCTGCGCCTGGCTCAGTGTCTTGGACGCATACTCAACGACGTGCTCCCTTCCGTCCTTCCCGTGTTGAGTCTGCACCGTCGATATCGCCTGAGGCTGCCAATCTGTGTGCAGTGCGAACGGTCTTGCCAGGTCGGGACGCACCAACACAGGAGCCGATGTCAGAGCCTCCTTCAGCGCCTGAAACGCCGCTTCGCATTCCAGCGTCCAGATCAGTTGTTCCTCTCTCTTCAGCAGGTTCGTGAGGGGCTTCGCTATACCGGCGAACCCCTTGATGAAGCGTCGGTAATAGGATGCCAGCCCTAGAAAAGCCCGAACCTGGGTGAGTGTGACCGGCGCCGGGGTGTCTTGAACTGCGGCCACCTTCCTCGGATCCGGTTTTAGTCCATCGACCGTGTCGATATACCCCAAGAATGAGATCTCCGATAAGAAGAACTCGCTTTTCTCCAAGGCCACCTTGAACCCGGCATCTTTCAGTGCATGCAAAACCCACTCCATGTGTTCCACGTGGTACTCGTGTGTTTTTGAAAAGACCAAAATATCATCCATATACACAATCACACAGAAATTGATCAGGGGATGGGTTAGTCGGGTTTTGTTAACGAACTCAGCGAAGGCCATATTCATGGCCCGCTGAAACGTTGCCGGGGCGTTGCAAATTCCCATGGGACACCGGACTCATTGCCACGTGCCCTCGAATAGGACAAAAGYGGTTTTGGGTCGGTCCTCCGGTYGGACCGCGACATGGTGAAAACYGTGTCGGATATCGAACTTGGAAAAGACTYGAGCGGCCCCGATAGCATCTAACAAATCATCGATTCRYGGCAAGGGATACACAYCTTTGGTAGTGATGGCGTTCAATTTCCGGTAGTCGATACATACCCGGACCGAACCATTTCGTTTTGGCACAAGGACCATGGGAAAAGACCACGGTCCCAGCGATGGTTCGACCCACCCCAACCGCTCGAATTTCCGTACCCTTTCCAAGGCCAGCTGCCTTTCTTTAAGGGAATATCGGTCCGGTCGACAGTGTATCGGGACGTGATCCCCGGTATCAATCGCATATTGTATCAAAGGGGTTAGCCCTATGTCGTGGTCCTGAATACTGACGGCCTCAGGATAGGCCCGTATAACCGCCAGGAGGAGGCGTCGGTATTCATCCGGAACACGGGTTGGTAACTACACTTTCACGGTTCCCCAGGGAAAGGAGACCGTCGTCGTAACCGTGGGGACCACCGCGCTGGCATCGGGCGAGGCCCCAAACAAAGAGTTGTCGGTTTTCGCTGAAAGGACAGTCGCAATGAGTTGACTGTCCACCGGAGTCATCGGCTCGCTTTCCATATCACTGTCACCGTCCAGTTCGGGTTCGGCAGAGGGTTCTACCGAAAAGGCCTGCGCCAGTTCCCTCGGTCCCCATCGGTATTTCCTGGTCCGGGGTTGAAATGACACCCCCTCTTTTAAGAGTATCGCAGCCTTTTCATTCGTGAGTAGGGGCTGTGGTAGTCGAAAAGATAAATCGCACAGCCCCCTTAGCTCGGTAAATCTTTTAGGCAGGGGGTCCGTCCTGAGATATAAGGACGCAGGGGGTTCCGAAAAGTCAGCTATTCGGGACACCCTCAGCAGGGGTTCCCCCTGCACCACGGAAGAGAACGCGTGCGACCAATTGGACTCGCTCCGAACTATTTCCAGTGGCTCTCGCCGCCAAGAACGGCGCCACCGATCCTGAACTCGGATCGGATATCGGTCGGGTACCTCAGTCTCGTCGGTTTCTATCGAGGGTTCGTTTTCGTCTGGTAACCAGCGTTGGATCATGTTGATTTGATGGGCTTTCGAGGCGAGGCGAGGCAACGGCTGGGTGCGCATGCGCACCGCCAGTCTCATTGGTATCATTTGGGGTTTGGGGTGGGCCGATGTGAGCACCACCTTACAACTGTCGAAGTGCATTCGCGCTCCGACCGCCACCTGCCACGAAATGCCTAGCAAAACATCATACGCCTGTACATCCAGCACGATCACGTCACACAAACAATGCACCCGCCCCACACGTATGGGCACGTTCGTTATTCGCCCCTTACAATGAATACTATCTTCCGTAGCGGATATATACAGTTCATCCGGTCGGAGGGGCTGAACCTGTCCTTCCCTTTCCAACTGTTTCGTTAATCTCCAAGAGATGGCGACCGCCGATGATCCCGAGTCTAGGATGGCGGCCGAGGGGTTTCCCCAGACCTCACAATCACACTCTACGTTTTCTAGGTTATAGGATAGGCCCGGAGGAATACCTCGGGATTTTCCGAGGCGGAATCTATGGTCTGTATCATCCCTATCCGGTTGGCTTCGTGCACCTCTGAGGTCGAGGGTCGTGGTTCCTCGTTGGCGGGTGGGTCCCGTAGGACCAACTTTTTGCCCTTTCGACTCCCCTCGAACCGGCGCCTGTTTTTGAGGCACCGTTCGATCAATTTTTCGTTAGTCGCTTCAGAAATGGTTAGCAGATATGGAATAGGGAGTCCGACAGGGATCCGAAGATCTAGAGCCTTCAAGGCCTCCAATACGTCGATATGGCCATCCTTGTATTCAGGACCGGGTACCGCAAGATCTTCGAACCCTGGTCGCCACGACCCGAGGTCGCTTTCCTTGGTAATCCGTTGGATGTGACGTATCACTCCAATGGTCCCGGGTTCGAACATCGCTGCCGCCATATACTCATCGGGTCCTATCTCAGTGGCCGCAGGGGTCACCATCTCCGTCGTTCCTGTGTCCATTACCGTGGCTACCCTCCCCTGTCCGGCAGCGGTGGGAGCAGCCAGTGGGATTTGGGAAGGTCTGGCGGGCCCGCCTTGAGTTCGGGGTTTCGGACAATCTTTCGCAAGGTGGCCTGGCTGGTTACAGTTATAACATCGTAGGGGTGGGACAGCCCCGACCACGACCGGTCTTATCATAGGGGCTCCGGCAGCCATAGCCACCTGCTGCCGTTGTGCGGCGGCTATGCGTTGGCGTTGCAGACCTTGCACAAACTCAGTCAACAGGGCTTCTACCGTAACTAGTTGGGCCGCGACCTCTTTCATGGAGGCTTCTTCCTCGCCCCGGCCTCCTTGCGTTTGACTAGGGTGACGGGAGGCCGAAGCAGAGGAGGAAGCTTTCATATCCGAGCCTTTTTTTGCCGGGCCCAACCTGAAGCGATCTTCGAACATACGTGTCGTAGTGGAGTAGCTATTGCGTCGAACGCCCGATGGGTCATCTTCGTCGGATTCTGAGTCCAAGCCCGCATCGTAATTTTCCTTCCCGTACCTAATTGCATACTGAATAAGCTCCGTTAGGGTATGTTCTATAGGGTTGCATTTCTTGCGGATCTTCTTCCGCAGACGAGAGTCCGACAGTCCTCTCACGAAATCAGTCAGTACCATTTTCTCATCCACCCCGGAGCGTTCGGCTAGGTACGTAAATCGTTCAACATATCTAGCCAAGGTCTCCTGGGGCTGCTGTCTGTATTCCTTGATTAAACGGAGGCATTGACCTGGTGCGATGTGATCAAATCTATCGAGAAATTTCCTCTGGAAGGCTGCCCAATCACTGAACGGGTTTTGTCCGTACCACTCAAAAGCGGTTCCGGCTAACCGTCCGGGAATTCGTTCTCGGAGCAACTGGTCCGACCAGCCCTGGGCTTCCAAGGCAGCTAGCCAGGTGCGAGGATCGGTGTCATCTTCAGAAAGAATAGGAACTTCGGAGGGAGGACGTACAAAGTACAGGGGATGATTAGCCATCCCCGCGTGGTTGTTGCCGTCGTTCGCTCCCCCAATTCCAGGTTCCACCATCGCGGGAGGCGGGTCTCGAGCCCGGCCCCTCGCTAAGTTCTGATTGCTATTCGCGGGCCTCCGTGCACGGGGAGCCAGCCTACTCAAAAATACGAAAATTCTAGAAAAAAGATAAAAAGAAAAAAGGAGAAACTTTTTAAAACAGGGCAATCGTCTTAGGAAGACCTCGGAGCCAAAACGAATGATCTCTGATACCAACCTCACGCCCCCTTGCAGCTTCCCGTACGGGGGCGCCGATCAGAGTTCTAGGAGGGGCGTGGCCAAGGATTTTTGGCCGTAAGGGTTGAGTCTCCCGGACGGAATGAGAGGCTCTCGTTTCGTGGCCGAGGTTTTTCTCGAAGTCGAACTGCCGCCGCGGAGTCGTGTGGGGGTCGAATCACTCCGAAACGACAAAATAAAAAAGGTTTCCATAAAAATGAATTGCCGCCATGCATCGGGACGGAGAAAGGCATCGAGGGGAGGGGGCCATGGCGGCGGAAGACAAAACTTCGATCGTCAGGGGCTTGGGGGATAGGTGGGGGGTTCGAAGCCTTCATGCCTCATCATCGACTTCACAAAGTGTCTGACCCCTCGGGTCTTTGTTGTGGAGGTGGGTGGTTCGAGGCCTTCAGGCCTCGGCGTCGGACTCACAGAGTCCGCGCGAAAGTTTCCGGGAGGGTAAAGTGGCGGGAGGACTCGCCGGCATCTGAATTCGAAATTGCGCGGGCAGCGCCCCCGCGCTACAGGAAAGCTCGGGGAAACGCGTCGCTCCCTCGTAACCCAGGGTCGGTCGTCGCCACGAACACGACTCAAAGTCCCCCTGGCGACACCAGCGACAATCAAACTGCGGTCGCCACACGTCGTGAGCGGCCAACCAGGGCAACACCGTTAAACCCGTATAAGGCAATATCGGAGTCGGGGAATCAAAGCAATCAATCAACACAAACCCGTTCCCCCTTATCTCACAGGCCCGCGGCGGGTCTTGCCAACACACTTGCTTCGTCCGCCTCGGCGCGCGCCGTACGTCCGCATCGCAGTACACGCTGTCGTCATCTGTGATGGGGAAGGCCGGTAGCGAAATGAGACGATCGAAGGTACGTGATGAACACGGGCAAGATCCCGCGTTCCCGATCATCCGAGCCAACACCGAATCCATACAACAATCGTCGCAACTTTTCTCTCTCAAAAAAGGGGGGTGCGTAGGGGAAAGATGACGAAAGTTAAGCTTTCTCCCTTTCGCGGGGGCGTCGACCGTCCGCGCGGACGCAGGCGGTTGACGTCACCGGTACAGGGACGATAAGCTCTAAAAGCAATGACTGTCAGTTCCGAGGAAGGCGATCGAGGAAGGGAAGGAGGGAGAGAGAGAGTGACAGTGAATTACGTCGAGACCACGCGAGAGCGCAGAAAAGGCCGCGGAGGGGAGGGGAACAACCGGATCAACACACTCATTCTCCTAAGCAGACGGTCCCCCAGTTCAGTTTCCCCATCCCCGCCCAGGCGAGTACATACACACATACATGCATGCAATCAACAACACTTGACAGGACATCTAATCATCCATGGACCTTCGACGTCACTCATGCACAGAACCAGCTCCCATCACTCGGAGCTTCAAGCACGCGACATACATAGACAAAGCAGCAATGGAGATAAAAGTAAGTCCTTCTCGTTCACAAAAAATTCAATTAACTGCCGCCCCCAGGCGCGGCCTTCAAAAATTCCCCAAGACCACCGACCACCATAGCCACAAGGCCCTGCCGCGGCCGACGTCCAATCCCCACCACTGCTCAGTCCCTCCGACTGCTTCGCCCTGAGACTACCACGGGGTCCACCCCACGTCGTCACTCCGCCCGTCCTTGGGCTCATCGAGCCTGTT